AATCTTTGGAGTGCATACAGTCTCTGCGGTGGCCGACACACATGCACACACAACCACATAGATATGCACATTGATACATGCACACACAAACATCAGACAGATGGTTGAAGCTCTGCTCTGACAAAGGGTAAAGCACAGGGCACCTCCACTCTTCAAAGTCTCTTCGTCTCTCCTCTCGTTGCTTCACAAACGCCATCTGTACCCAGGCGCACTAATGCTACTTAAAACAAGGACATTGCATTTTTTTTTCTACCCATAATTAGAAGACAGCAGGAAGAGGGTTTCTTTTTGCCTCTGCCATAAAATAAATATTTTGGAAAGGCAAGTCGAATCATTTGATACAGTTGGCACAATATAGCTCCTCAAGTGAAAGATAAAAGGATGGGAGATGGAGCGGCTGAGTACCTGAAAACATTTTAGGCTTTGCATATGCACGCGTGCATCATGCGTATGTGTATCTTGGTGAGTGTATGAGCCTGCTTACAAGGATACAATGCATGAAACTGAAAAGAAAGTGTATGTCTTTCCCTGCCCAGCAGCCAGGTTTCTCACCACTCTCCTCTCTTTTGGTCTCTCAGAGGAGCAGTCATTTCTCTCTGTCAGTCAGTCAGTGTTTGGGGAAATGATAGTGGGTTTTAGAGAAAGAGCGGCTTTGTTTGGGCAGGAGCAAGCAAGAATAGCACTGTTTCCTTTCATCATCATCCTTTTACTGTCACCTCCAAACATTCTCCTCTATCACCTTCTCTCCTTTTGTCCTTTCCTTCCTCACTCCAACTGTTTCCCTTTCTCCTTTCCATTCCTGCCTTGCTTTTCCCTACCCCCAGCACTCGCTCCTCCTCGTTCCTCAACCTCTCTCCCCCCGTTTTCCCCCTCCCCAAATTGAGGTAGCGTGTTATTAGTAAGGCAGCCAATGTGCCTGTCGGTGTGTGTTAGAGAGAGATAAGCACAGGTAGAGAGAGTTACATAAGCCTCTGTTGATTACTGTGGAGGAGAGGGAGAGCAGAAAAAGAGAGTGAGAAGAAGCGAGAGAGAGAGTGAGAAAGACAGATTGCTGTACCTTAGTAAGTACATTGTGCTCTAATGTTGCCTGTATGGCTGGCTGGCCGTTGATAAGTAGCCTAGGCTTTTGGGGCTGGTTAAAAGGACAGTCATTAGGTTGGACTCCCTAGACTGGCAGCCTGTTTCATAGATTGCAAGTTAGTTTTTGTTATAATGTTTGACAGGAGAAAAATAAACTCTTTTCAATGTTTACTACATTAATATGACACAGTAATAAGAAAACAGCTGAATACACTTTGATTGTGGTGTGGATTCATGGTCCGGATTCTTGATTTAAACCCAATTCATTAATTTAATCTGCAAGTAGTTTTTCTCTTGAATACCCGGATGATATTCTATATTCAGGTAATATATTATATTTTTAACAAAACCAACAATTGATACTACTGATGAGTGTTGATATAGCTTGTTCCTCTGTGCCATGGACCTCCATTTTTGTCCAACTATTAAAAAAAACAATGAGCCATGCTGTTAAACATGTTTGGAACTGTAGTTTAGTCCATCCGACATACACTGCCCTGCTGCTGCAAATATTATTCTATATAATAGAATAATACATATAATAAAAGGATCATATATTATACTTTAATAAAATAATGCTGGAAAACCAACAACAAAGTAAAGAAAATACAATACTCTGGCTTTCAGTCATTTTATATTGTATCACTGATTTAATTTGATGTGACAACTTCAGAACACATTAAACATAAATACAGTTGCGGAGTATTCAACACTAATGTGATGCCTGGTGAACTCATGCCACAAAAATACAACATATCTTAATCCATGTTCAACTCTGTTTATTCTACGTTGTTTATGTATTAATGATAATACGCAAGAGTAATTCATGTTAATTTCAGACACAAACGTTTTTTACATGGTAGTTAAGAAAACCAAGAAAAATATGCAAAGCAAAAAACAGTGGATGGTCAGATCAAATCAGCAGATCGGTTCTGATTGATGCTGTCTGCTTGCACATTGTCACTTTGTATGCCTACATCTCTGTTAGTTCACACACACAGAGACACTTATTGTTAGGCAAAATTATGGGTCAACTCACCTCCTTCACCTCCTTACATGCACTTTTAAACTTAAACTTAAGAACACACTGGAAATGTTCACTCTCTCTCACACACACACACACACACACACACACACACACACACTCGGTCATGGACAATTGCAAATGATCACGGACAAATCTACTCTTTTTTCACTTCATTCTCAGTAGCACCTCTTCAAGTCATCACTGAAGTGTGTGTTTGCGTGTGTGTGCGTGTGCATGCTAGTGTATGTGTTTATGCCATGCCTTCATCAGTATGCCAAGCATTTGTCTAGGGGCTCTCCAGCCAGAACCAGCTTAGGAGCAGCTCAAGGCCAAACAAGTGTGAGGATTAAAGGACAAATACAGTCCTCTCTTCTCCTCTCTCGTCTCAGCGGAGGAAGTGAATGAGCAATGCTCTCCTCTTCCTTAACTACTGCTGAGGTGCCCTTGAGCAAGGCTCTTGCCGTGCCTCACAGCAGTAGAGTGTTGTGTAATTGGGTGGATTCCAAAAGTCAAGATGAAGCATGGTGGTAATACATTTACAAACCCTAAAAACAACAAATGTCCATTACTAATCACTGTTACTGACTGCAGCTCTCCCCAAAAAGACAGCAGTGACACCCATTTTACCTGACATACAGCACATGCATGACAACTACAGTAAGAAAGAAAGAAAACCACAGTTACAGCAATGGTTTTTGTTTGTGCTGTGTAGATCCCATTAGAATTGTTATTTTTCTGCTTCTGACAAGCTAATTAAAATGTACAGGTACAGAGTTGGCACAAGAGGAAGTAAGGAAGGGGAAATTGTGAAAGCCTGTCAGGGGAGAGGGAGCCAGAAATGTAAAAAATGAGAATAAAACAGAATAATTTACACTGAATAGGAGTTAATGAGATCATCCAACAGACGGAAGGGAAATGCTGTGGTTCAGGTCTGTGCATGGTAGAGCATGCCTGGTCAGTTCAGACTGTGAAGATTGTCCCTTTGTGTCTGAGTTAAAGAGTCAGATCCTTGTTGATTGCACACCTGACAAAACGTACAGGACAAGTTCAGTTTTTACCAATTTTTGCTTGAAAATAACCACATTTTATAAAAAAAAGAGTGAGATTGATTCAAACAATTATTAGATTGGTTTATGTCCCTACTGCACCCAAAAGTTGTTTACTGCTGCAGGAGGACACTGATCACCACAGCTTAGAGTAAATTAGGTCCTTTAACAATGTTGACAGCTAAGAAAATACTTCCAGTATTTGAAAGAGGTGAGAAAAATGCAGAGAAAGTGCAAATGAGCTTCTTAGTCCCTCTAAGTAACTGAAGAAAAGGTAAAGCTACAGTGTTTGTAAATTGCATTTTGTTTCTAAATAATACAGATAACATCAGTAAATTCACAGATTCTATTTCATTTTATTTATTTATTTTTAGAAAAACAAAAAGCAAAAAATAATGAGCTTGACTTGAAATTCCCTTAATTTTATGGCCAATACTAGACTTTTAAGCAGATATAAGACATTTTTCATCAATGATTGGCTTTCAAAGAGCAGCTTTTTGTATTTTGCAGCTTGGCTGGAAAGTAAATAACCTTGTGCTGTCTGTGTCCTGGAGAGAAAAAGAGAACAAAAGGGGGAGTGAGATGGTCAAGGTGCTTCTCGGAATAAGAATTCAGGGGAGTGAGTACCATGAGACAAGCCAACAGGAAGTATAAAAAAGAGATGGGGAGAGGAATGGCATGTACAAAAATGTGGAATAACAATAAGGAGGGTTTTTATGTGTGAGAAAGAGACTGCACACAATGATGCTCAAACACAAAATCCCCCTCTTTCTCACTGCCTCTCTTTTATTCAGTCTCAGTCACACAGACATGCCTGTGTGCACACACAGTATTATGTAAATAGTCTCTTCGGCAGAGTGCTGCTGTCACTGAGCGAGCGTCCTCTGGGCCATCTAGGCAGCCTCATTAAAACAAGGCACAGCATCCATTAATAGATATCAGTGTGCACGTACACACACATATACACACATAAATATATATAAATATATATACAGTCAGTAACACACACAGAGCATTCATAGACACCAATAAAGGACCTCCTAGGAAGCACATCTCTAAATGTTCCTCTCAGGTGGCAGTCAAAAAATATCTCCAAGGAAACGGCTCAAATGTCACTGAGAACAATGCATAAAAAGTGTGTGTATGGCTGACTGTGACTGGAGCTAGCATGAATGAAGAATGGACTGTTAGGCTTTAAACAGACTCAGGGTCAGTGCCACATTACAGCCCTGTATGCTCAGTCTACGACTGATGTGTGTGAATATTATACTATTTGTCTCCATTTCTCTCCGAACCCACTGTAAATCTTTGTGTTAAATGTAGCACATTTTAAAGAGAGGTTAGGTAGATGGACTCAGTAAACACAAGATAAGAACAGTTTGAATGCTAATTTTTACATACATGTTTGAGTTAACTGAGCTTAATTTATTAAGTCTCCTTGACCTCAAAATCGTTTTATATATATATATATATATATATTATTTTATAAATCTGTCTTTTATTGCATCAGCTTTTCTGTGTTTAGTTCTGGTGTCTCTTTTACATAGTGAAACTTACTTTCAGCTTTAATTCCTGTATTCCATCAGAATATAAATGTTTCTAAATTGTTAATTTGTTCTTTAAAGAGCTCTTTTATTTATTTATTATTTTTTTATTTTTTTATTTTACATTATATGAATTTCCTGACATGAAAATGTATGATGGGCATAGCTTGGGAAAATAGTAACAAAGGTTGTTGCAGTGGGAAAACACAAATGTTAGCTAATGTATGGACCACAGTTCTGTTCTGTCTAAACCCTGTAAAGTAAAAGGGGCCTGTGTTTGTTTGTGATCTGCTGGCCCCGCAGGTGGCTCCCGAGGTGTGGGTTTCATCCGCTTTGATAAGAGGATAGAGGCTGAGGAGGCCATCAAGGGCCTGAATGGACAGAAGCCATCAGGTGCCGCTGAGCCCATCACGGTCAAGTTCGCCAACAACCCTAGCCAGAAGACCAGCCAAGCCCTTCTTTCACAACTCTACCAGTCCCCCAATCGCCGATACCCAGGCCCCCTCCACCACCAGGCCCAGAGGTTCAGGTGAGTGCTGGGGTGGGGCATGCAGAAGAAACCAGATAGGGTGGGAGAGGGTTCAGGTAGTGTTGTTAGAGCATTGAGATTTATATTGGATATGTGATTAAAGCAGAGTTTCCCAACCTTCTGAGCCGACCCAGACTAAGGTCTTCTCATATTCATTCGGTGACCCCACCAAAGTTCCTAAATAAAGTAAGGTGACTTGCTCCACTGTTCTGTCATTTCTAAAGCGGCCCTGCTTGACAACCATTATTAGCACTAAGAATTAGTCATAGTGTTAAGTGACTTACAGTTAAAGCTCTTTTAAGGCCGGTTGATTCATTGGTACAAAAAGATCTGCATTAGAAAATATCTGGTTCTTTGATAAAAGTCAACAGTCCAAGCGTACAAGGGGCATTTTGGTCAGGAACAACATTAAATGTATAGCTAAACATTACACTTTTGACAAAACTGATAATACAATCTGCAGCTTTAATAAACTAAATTTTAAATTTTTGGTAAATTTAGGTCTTGTCAACAACTGCAACAAGGAAGCATTTTGAACTTGTTTCTTCACCACAACAATGGTAGCCAGAGCTCATGGATGTAGTATTTAGAGCCGTGCCAAGTGACAAAAAGTGTTTCTCAAAAACAAAGTTAAAATACTGAGAACTGATGGCCATGACATAAACCTATAGCATTGTTACATTAACTGGGAGTCTTTTAATGGGCATTCAGAGTGGGAACCAGTGGCTCCTCTTGGTTCTCAGCTCTATTCCAGAGACATTATGATGTAACAAAATGAAACTCAAAGTGCCCAAGCATAAAAGAAGTAGAGTAAGAATGACACTGTGGCCATCTGCTCAAAAGGTTGGGAATCTCCAGGTTAATGTTAAGAATAATGGAAAGGATGTTATATGTATTCATCAGCAAACAATAGTAGATTATATAATACATAACATCATCAATTGTTAAACAAGTATGTCGTCCAGGGTGGTACGATTGATGTTTGATTAACATTTGAAAAACTGAACTGCCCTACCACTGTGTTTGGTATCATTAAATGACAGGATTGCTATTTCATATGTGGATATGAGAGATTTAATGTCATCAGTCTCAAACTCGAAAGCAATTATTCTTGGTTTATGTGACCATAAATGCATTTAATCAAGGAAACGCGTCTGTTCTAAACAACAAGCCTGATTTGGAAAACATTTGCACCAAATGCAATTTACAGCGTTCGAACAGGGGATGCAACGCCTACACATTGAGCGCATGAGTCATAGCCACGTCTGTGTATCAACAATGATGTATCAACAATGATGCAACTTTTCTCCTGTGAACATTTATTCCAGCAAACACGTTCCCTTTTGAACAACAGATGTGAGTTCTGCACCTGGTGCAGGTGTCAATAAAACAGGCCCTGTGAATGCTCTGTGTGGTTCCACCCAGATCAGAGAGGAACTGTTCATAAGAGACTGTGGGGTTCTGTCGTTCACAACTACGTATTTCCCCTCATTTCATCATGCTGCCATCGAGCCAACACTTCCCAGAATATCCCCTGTGAGGCCTGGGCAAAAGCGTGTATTTATCAATGTTTATCAAACAAAAGAGATGCACTTCATTGTCTTTCTGACTTTAAAGCCCTGACATATAGAACATTTTTGTAGTTTCACTTACTTTCAATACATTGTCGATATAAATATACATTTGCTAGACTCACAAGACGTAATCTACTGTATTAAATACTATACAAGTCTCTGCATTAGAAGCTATTTAAGAGAGACTAATGTAAATCTGATGAACAAAGGGCAAATTAAAACAAATTATTTAAGGATTTGGATTGTAACCTTGTTTCAACTTAATGAAATTGAGTGCCTTTAAAGCAACTCAAGCTGTAATTTGCTTTTTTTTTTTTTTTAAAAATAAGCTTTTTGCCCAGGTCAGTAATCTCCACAAGCACACATATACATATACATAAGCACACATACATATACAGTATGTGACATACTGTATATATGGCATCCTACCTGGTCATTTCCTGTCACTCACTAATGACACAAACAATCCTTTTTTAATTTCAATGTTATATACAACACATACACGCTGTTAGAGCTTACTCCTTGAGGTCACCTCAGCTACAAAAAACAAGGCAGAAACAGGTGATTGAAGGATAATAAGCTCCATCAGCCAATCCAACAAGAATGTTTCAGAATTGGAGACAGAATATGCGCTTATACAATTTCCTCTCTCTTTCAATAACACTAAGCCGGTCGTGCTGTTTACTCTCCATCAAAGTCAGAGCTTGGAAGGTATTTTTCTTCTGGAGCGGCTTCCCTGGTGTGACACCTGAGCGATGTAGCGTGGCTGTGTGTCTGTGATACGCCAAGCCAATTTACAGGCTCCGCAGGAGAGCTGTCGCTTCTCATCACAACTCACAACCACAGGACACTTCCTCACTGTGTCCCTGTGCTCCTGCTCTCTGCTCCCAAGCCCTCCACTAAAACCTCAACACTTCAGAAGTTAGAAATGTGCTCGATCTGCACAGTTTCCCTTTTCTTTACTAAATCTTTTAAAAGGACAACAGTGCAAAAGGACATTTTGTTACTAATACAACACAGTATTTAGTCAAACCTGATCTTTAGTTTGTTCGGTTTATCCCTTAAAGACTAAACTAAATTTAAAGTTAAAATATATATTAGTATGTTCAAAGTTAAAAGTACATTTAATAAACGAAAAATAATGAAGCAAAAATGATCCATTAAGCCTGAAACAAAATGAAATGTAAATTAGCACTGAAAATAAATCCATTAGAGATTGTAAAATTGATACTCGTTGCTTGTTTTACATACTTAACAAGTTTGTGCTGCTGCTTATAGGTAAGACCCAAGTTAAAAAATAGTCCGGGCAGACTACAGTGCAATCCTGCTGCAGTTATAATTACATATATCCTGTGTGACTAAATCACGTGGGCCTGCGGTAACATAAGTTAATATATAATGTGCTTGTATGGTCCCTCTCCAAGACAGCAAACATAATCGACTCGAGCACAATACACCGAGCCCTAGATCCCGGCTCGTTTCCGATCCTCTGTCGTTAACTAATGGTACTAATTAGCAAATTAGCCTTATTATATCCAGGGCAGGAGCCAATTTTAATTGAAAAGATTTTTGTTTCAAAAAAGAAAAGACAAAAACGCCCATTCCTCCATTAACATGCATTGAGAGAAAGCACAAAAGCCCTATTGTTTATATTGTGCTTGGAGAGGCAGTGTGAAAAGCTGGCAGAGTGTTTGCGTGGTGAGTGTGCATCAGTGTGCATTCGTACATGTGTGAGAAAGAGAGAGGGAGAGAGAGTGTTAGCAGCAGGTTGTTTTGTTGTGGCCCAATGGCCCGGCGGCCAGCAGATGTCTTCGTGCTCCCGGGCCTGGAGCGCTTATCCTCTGAGCATCCTCTCCAATTGACTCATTTACCCACAAAGCAGCCTGCTTGTTCCCTTCCCACGTAATGGGCTAATTACTGCTTTAATGATTCTGTATATCCTTTTCTCCACTTTTTCTGTGTTTTAGGACCGCTTTCGACCTTTATGGTAATGTTACTTTGAACCCAGATAATAAGCAGGCCTACAATGTACTCAAAACGTTAAATGTAATGTAAAATATAAAAAGGTTATGTAAATGAACTCAGCTGACTTCAATGTGGGGATTTCAATGTGAGTACCTATCACAAGTTGAATTAATTTAGAGATTTTAAACATCTGAATGCATCTTAAACATTAAATGTTGAAAACATCAACATGAGGTACTTGTGAGCCTGTATTAAAACGATATTTTAAAACACAAGTTATTACAGTGCTCTTCAGTCCTGATCCTAAGTACCCACAGTTCTCCAAGATTTATAAGGTACTTAACTACAATTACCTGGCATCCCGGTGTTAAATTGTCCCTGATTAGAAGACTACTGATCTGTTACCTCTAACATGCAATGTAAATTCAATTATCAATATAAATAGTATTATGATTATTATTATTATTCAAGTTATTTATTACAAGCTTTCAAAACCTAATTGCTTTCTTAATTGCAATCAAATAGTAATGATGTGTATATCAAGTAAGAAAATAATGTTGCTTTTAAATGGTGTTATTGTAGAGTGGTTACATGGATTATTTCGTGATAAAAACAGTAAGATTTTAAAGCTCACTAGAAAGTTTTGGTAAATATTGTGTAGCAGTATTGTGTTGCAAGAACGCAAATGCTTGTTGACTGAAAGAGACAAGGAGAAATAACCCTGATAGTCGAGTCAAAGTCAGAGAGTTTGTAGTGTTTTCAAGAGGAACGAGGCGTCACTGGCCAGCTGTTGCTCAATAAGCCGTGGCCCCTGTCCATTAGGCCAGAGGAGTTAATAAGACATGAGACAGGCCAGACCCAAGTGAGGAATGAAGGTCATTGAGTCACCAAGCAGACTGCATCTATCCAAGAGAGCCAACATTTCATACAGCCCACAGGTTTCTGAAGCCTGGCTCTTAAGCCACACACACTTGCACACAAACTGTAGTTTACCCTGGCTGACTGCAATGGCTGTAGCTCTCGGGGTTGAAACTTATTATGAAACCGGAACATTTCCCAAAAACTAACCCTTTTAGACAGAGGACGCCCTCTGACTAACACTCAGCCATTCCACCTGACCTGTTAGCACTTAACAGGTTGACCCCGACCACAAAGACAGACATTCATGATTTCATGGCTGGTTTAATGTTCAGTTGTGTTTTTTGTTGGTCCACCTCATAGATAACATACTAATCATCATCACCTCTCTCGCTCACCATTATTCAAATGCCAAACCATTACACTGACAGAACTCTGGATCATTTTTCCTGTCATCTCAGGTGTTCTCTCAATTGAGTTAACACAAATTAAAGAGCATAGTTTATGAAAAGAATTTTTATTATTAAACCTCCATCTTCTACTAAACCATCAATGTGGCGGCATGAATTGTATGGATACCCACATGCAATTTCCTGCACGTAAAATAAGTCGATGATTTGCCATTGCATAGCCCTATGGCTTGCCGAGCATCCTAGTGTAGCCAGGTGCTCTGCTCCCGCCCTGCCACCATTAGTACTCTGTACTGTATGTGACTGTAATACTGAACTGTGACCAGTCCACTGCTGTAGTCTTGTACAACAATTTAACGGCTGCACCTACAGTAATGTCAATGTGCCTGTAACACTCTGCTCTGGCATTAGCTGGTGCAGGGCTGCGCTGAAGCCTGTGACTTAGCGCAGTGGCTGACCGAGCAAGTGCCGACCATACTGATGGTACTGTAGCTTCATTAACTGATGATAGCATTTTCTGGTGGGGCTCCTCAGTGTAATGGGCCAACTATAGATGGGTTTGTTTGTTCTTGAGTGAGGAGGACCATGCAGTTCCTACAGGGACTTAACATTAGTTCCATTGAGTGAGTCGACCATCTGCCCACCATTAACCCCAGAACCCTCCTTCTCTTTACAGGCTGGACAATTTGCTTAATATGGCCTATGGCGTAAAGAGGTAATTAAAAACTTCACCCAATGCCAGATGTCCATGTTGACTCAATGATTTTTCAATATCCTTTTTTCTGTTCTTTCTTTAGTTTATGTTTCCTTGTATTTTTGCAGTCACTTTGGGTTTGACAATTCGTTCAAGGTCAACTGCATTTTTGGTTCTTTGATTTGTTTGTTTTTTTTTTCCTCGTAAGCTTGAGTTGGTTTTAAAACCCTGCCAACCAGTTAAGGTGTAAAAAAAAAAAAACAGAAAACAATCAGTCTTTGTTTTCAGTGGTGATGAATTTGCTTTGTTTTGATTATGACAAGTGCTGGTGTTGTTTGGATTGTTTTGGGTTGTTTCTGTGTACTGAATGGATTTTGTTCTCTGGTGTAAAACTCCTAATTTCTAGGTGTGTTTTTTTCTACCGGATTCAGGTTCTCCTGCCTTGTCACTCTACAGCTATAGCTTGGGCACAGTCTCTCTTTAGGAGCAAATTTTCAATTTGTCACTTTGATTTTATGAGAATTTTCTCACTACATCATTGGAATAAAACCTTTGTACATCCACTATCAACTATGTACATAACCCTTTATGCGATAAATTTACATCTGTGTAGTGGAAGCCATGACAAAATGATATATTGCCTTCATTTCTTGGCAATTCTAGCTGAGATTTAGGTAGTCTTCAGCGAGGACATGGGATGAGGCTGGATGAACCTGGATCCCTGCTAGAAACAGGAAATGCTGTTTCACTGCAGACAGCTCCAGCTTTGCTCGGCACTGCTCTGCTCGAATTCCTTCCTTTCGCCTCCATGTTTCATTTTGCTTTCTCGCTACCATAGGTGTTACATAACCCAGAGCAGCAGCCACTGTGGTGATAGATGTTACATGTGCTGACGGTGGCATCTTGCATGTTGCAAGCACAGCGGACACCATCTGAAGTCAGCTTAGCAACTCAAACAGAGATGAAGTTTTAGCTCGAGAGAAATGTCTCCTTAGCAAGTTCTCTTAGTGCCTCCCGTGCCCAATAAGCACTGTGCCCTCAATCTGAGTCTTTACATAATTGTCTAAAGATGAAAATAGTGTCTGATTCAGCGGTCCTGATTGTAAAGCATGTCATCAAGTTAGAAGTGCTTTTCAGTGATCTGAGGTTATTATTTGAAAGGAAACAGAAGAAAGGTGTTGAGAGCTGGAGATGGTTGGCTTTAGAAAGGACAGAATAGATATCTGGTCAGCTACACTGTTGCTATGCAACCCCTGGTCTCGTCTGTAACATTGGTTAGTGTTTGGTCCCGCTCTGATGGGTACACTCGCATGCACGTTTACACACATGCACACACAGACACACATGTACATACAGGCACACTCATCTCCACATCCTCGCAGTGGCAGTGTTAGCTAGCTTCCAAAACCGTCACACTCTCACAAACCTCCTCGCATACTCCAGCTTTTGCATACAAATCGCCACAATATTTTTTTTTCCAAGCCCAGCAGGAAAGGCCCAAAGGCAGCCGAGCATGTCAGACAAGGCCTCGACGTGATGAGGCCCGTTAAGTTTCCACCTGCTTGATGCTGGAGAAAATATTAAATCGCCTCAACAAGACATTGAGGCCATGTAGAGATATGAGACAAAGGATTTGGAACCTATTATAATACAGTTTGCTGCGGCAGCAACCCTGTGGTGATTATGAAAATTCCCTAGTATCCCGTTTGTATATAATACTATAATCTAGTTCATCTGGTCTTAATCGTACAGATAGATATATAGTAATATAATCTTATACTACTACGGTACTTAACACAGTGAATCAAAAAAAGTCTAATCAGTGCAGACAGCCCTTAAAGTCGATGAGCTAAACACTCTAGGCGCTTGTATTATCGTCCAAAGCACCCACAGTGGCCAGAAGCAAACTCTGCATGACCAAAGTCATGCAGGAAGGTCGTAGTGATTGCCGGCCATATATAGTCGCTGGAGACAGAGGGGTGGGGGCCCCGAGCAGCAAGCAGCACTATCGATCAGTGCCACGAGCTCTGGAATAGAATAGAACAGAACACCCTGCAGACTGCGGGAGGAGTGGGAGGAATACACTTTGTACCTTAATGCCACTGGGCTGTAAAGTGCTTCCATTTTCCATTTAGTTTGCTCCCTCTTCCCTCCCTCCTTTTCCTTAAGAAAGCAGCCTACTCTGAGACAGCTGCAGCAAAGCGGAAATCTCAATTAAAGCACACCCAATAATGCCTATAGTCGTTTCTTGGAGAGAGGTGGCATAAGAAATGAACCTTTTTATCTCATTTACCTTTTATTTAAAAGTGGGGATTTTTTTTTTCTCCTTTCCCTTTCCTTTGAGCGGAAAGGCAATTAAGTGAAGTCAACTGAGGATTCAAATCTCTTGCATCACAAGAAAAAGGAGAAGATTATGAGGCGAATGAGAACAGATTTAGCAGGCTGGTGCATGATCTTTGATGGATTTCTAGCAACGGTTTAATTCAACAACTTCCTGCAATTTAGCTCCTAAAGGAGCCACTCAAGGACACAAAGAGAGAACCTTCGTCTGCATCTCCGTCAGCAGAATATAGCCCAGCACGCAGCACTGTCGTCAGACCTTTCAGAACTGAGGAGTTCAGTAGTAGTAGCTATGCAGACAAACATACATACGGACTCATACATTTAGACATAAGCATACATGCACATACAATAAACATCCATGCGTATTCGTCCTAATTCATCTGAATTTGGCGTGGAGATCAGTTTTTGTAGTTTTAGCTGTAAACTGTAAGCATTTAACAGGTTATGTTTTTAAGCTTTTTATTTTATATGGATGTAGACGTAGCATATGATGTAGGTGAGCATCATGGCAAGCTTTTTAGATCCAGAAGGAGGATTCTGTTTTAAAAAAAATGTCTCTCAAAAAGCAAGATGGAGATAGGTTTTTTCCACTGGTTTCTGGCCATTTCATGTACAGTAGATGCAGACATTGAGTTTCACTGTATGCCTTAATCTGTTCAATTAAAACTTGCTCTTTTCTCTCTTCCCTTCCTTCTGCTCTCCCTCCATTTTTCCCCACTCTGCCTCTCCTCTCAGGTTTTCCCCCATCACTATTGACAGCATGACCAGCCTGGTTGGCATGAACATCCCTGGGCACACGGGCACCGGTTGGTGCATCTTCGTGTACAACCTGTCCCCAGATTCGGATGAGAGTGTGCTCTGGCAGCTGTTTGGGCCCTTTGGTGCCGTCAACAATGTCAAGGTGATCCGTGACTTCAACACCAACAAGTGCAAAGGCTTCGGCTTCGTCACCATGACGAATTACGACGAGGCGGCCATGGCCATCGCCAGTCTCAACGGGTACAGGTTGGGCGACCGCGTCTTGCAAGTCTCCTTCAAGACTAACAAGACACACAAGTCCTGAACTTTAACAGATAAAAGCAGTTGCCCCGCGACTTTGTCTGCTCCAAAATTGCCCTCAACCCCCCACCCCACCCCATTCCCTTCCACCTCCACCTCCACCTGTCCCTTAGCCCCTTCAGTCACTACCACTATCACCCTACTACAGCCATCCAACGCAGCAAACTCAAACTCCAACCGGAACACAAAGCAACCGACAAACCATCAAACAAATTGAACTAGAAATGGCTTATATTATAACTTTGGACCTATAAGCCAATGTTGCCTAAGTATTACAAAAATGAAATGATGAAAATGTTCATGAGTTTTTTGGAAGCTCCTGTGATAATGCAGGCTTCTCTTTGTTGTATATTCTTTCTGTTTGTTGTGGTTGTTAAAATGATTTTTCTCTTCTGTGTAAACAGTAGCAAATCCCTGTATCCCCTTATTTCAGAGAAGAGAATGTCCTTTTTAGATTGAAACCTTTTCTCTGTCTTGATTCAGGATTTGTTTTTCTTTTGTAAATCCGGATCCACTGTCGTTAGTATTATATACCTCCCTGTCGGTGAAAGGGAGGGGGCTCTTTTTTAAATTGGTGAACCATTCATTCATTTTTAGTGTGTATTAAAAACTTCCCCTTATCGATTATACGTGGGATTTTCCACAATCCCAGTAACTCTGATGTAGAAAAAAAAGAATTTCTAACATTGTTTTTGTTTTGTATCGCAAACAAAACATAATGTCTTTCCTCACAGGGGTTCAGGGAGATGGGGTGAGGGAGGGGATGGGTTAGCTTTCCTGATGACACGTTCAGTAATTTAAGAAAAAAAAATAACACTGTTGCCAAAGAGAAGATCTCTTTGCTTGAAAAAAATGCGTTTAGAAAAAGATAAAAATAAAGAGAAAGAAGATCTATTTTTATAAATGATAATTAAAATAATAATTATTGAAGAATTTTTACAAGAATCTGGATTTGAAAAAAGAGAAAAATATTTTGACTGGCTAACTAGGGGGGGCCGGGGCGGGAGGGAGGGGGCACCACCTTGTCTTGTCGTTCTGCCGTGGTACTTTATAGGATCCAAGGTTGTTTGTTTTTTGGGGACTCCAAGTTGGCAGTGATTTTGTAGATGGAAGGTTTTGTGAAAAGGGATGCAAACTGAGGCAGGTGATTTTGGTAATTTTTCACATATGTACTAGTGCGTAATTATTCAACAGCGATACCCAAAAGGGAAGGGAGAGGGGTCTTTCCAAGGCCTAACCATCCTTATAGTCCAGAGCCCAAAGCAAGAAGACCCTTTGTCCACTTGTTTTCCTGTTTTTGTCATCAGTCAATATGGGATATCAGTAAATAGATATATACACATCTATCCATTTAGAGAGCATACTATACATTATCTATATCATTTTCTTCGCTCTGCGTTTGTGAACTTACATTTGAAAAGAACTTCCTTTTAGCGATCAACAGTAGGTGCTATACTACATTATTCACATATCTTAAATATCCAAGTTTGTTGTTCTATGTGTTGTTTAAAGAAAAAAAAATACTTCGATGTTGGCATTGACTTGAGCTGCTGTTCTTTGTTTAATATTTGTTTATTGTTGGCCCAGATATCTGGTGAGACTATTTCTTTGCTGAATAACCAGATAAACGAATTTGGGCCTTGTAAGAATCACTGAACAAATTTTTATTTTGTATTTTTTTGTTTGGCTTGCTGACTTTTAGGTTACTTGCTGAGCGTGAAACGTTTGTCAAAACTAAATGATGATTAGCTAGTTCCGTTAGTCTAGATATTTGTTTCCTTAAAAAGGATCTATGACAACTGTGTCTTTATTTGCTGTGTACAAATAGATGATATATATATACATATATAGTCTACATTTGTTTTACAATATCTACTGTACTATATGAGTTGTCACTGTTCTTTTGTTTGAGCTTGTCTTTTTCATATGACAACTTATTATGAAGTGGTGGTTCAGTTACTTAGAAAAACTTGTGAGGAAACTGTTCAATTGTTGTCATGTTGCTTGTGGAGAAAAAAAAAAGATTTGGATTAACTTTCAGTTAGCTACCGCGGCAAAAGAAACCGAACAAAAGCTTAGAATATAACTGTATTTGTTTAGCAGTTTATTTACTTATCTATTTTTTCAACTATTTATTTTTCTATTTATTTGTATTTATTATATATTTATTAATTAATTAATTTATCTGTGTATTTATGTATTTATTTGTTTCATTGTCTGTGTATTTGCGTGGTTCTGGTACAGGGAGGGGGCGTTTCTGAGCAAAAGGGAACAAAGCGACTAGTGGAGAGGCTCTTCCAGTAGTCCACTGCACTGAGAGAACTTTTAGTACGTTTGTGCTTTGTACCAATATATCAAAATTACAATATAAAAAAATCTAAAAGTCAAGAAAACTGAAAAAAATGTCTGGAGGGTTGGGGGACGCTCTTCCCTTATTACTAGAAACAGTTACTCGCTATGCATAACCTAGTTAATAGTTAAATTTGCTATTGCTTTTTTCTTGTCTTGTTAAACTGAAATCTTTAGATCTTTTTCAATAAAGTTTAGTCTTAATAGAATGTTATAAACAGTCGTTCTGGTTCAATATAACCTGTGATAAGTTTGTGTAGTTCTAAAAAGCCACTCCGTCCACACCCTCCCTCCACTTACTACCGCTTTGTGATGAAACCTTATGCAAAAATGTGGGTCTGAAAGCATAGTTTTCAGTTTTCAGTAAAACATTTTATATAACATTCAGCTCTTGGAGGCTTGGGCAGATACATTTTAAAAGGAGCAAATGCCCATTGTTGTTTGAGGGTCATTCATTGCACTGGACTAAATCGGTCAAAATCACTTAAGAGTCAAAACTTATTTTTTAAAATATTCATCATGTTTTCAAATGACATACCAACAAATCTTTAAAAATGAGAAATTGTTACCATTGCACACCAACTGTTATTTACAGCAGTTGTTGCTATACTTAAGAAGTACTCTGGAGGTATGAAAAGGGATTGTACCGATTCTATATTTTATATACTCTAATATGATATATATTATATATTTTGAGAGGTGAAAGGTAAGGGAATGGTTCCAGAAGTATAAATATACGGAATTGGATTTTTTTTGTTTGTTGTTAAGACTTGAAAACATGAAGGAGGTGTGTGGAGAGCATTTTAAACACTCAGACGCATGCTCGCATATCTACATCCTTCTCTCTCACACCTCAGTCATCTGACAGGCCGGGTCATCTTATATCATCATTATTATCCAGTCATCCTCTGCGCCATCCAATCACATAGTTTTCTAACGTCATAACGGCAACAAACCAACCAACCCACCCACCCACCAACCAACCAGACCCCTTCATGCTCCCCGCCGCCGTCGGGAGCTTGAATTATGCAACGACCCCAGTAGAATGTTGTTCTGATGTGTGAACTAATTTCCTACACTGTATGACTTTTGAACTCTTTCGATGCGTGCCTGTGTTCCGCCTAGACCCTGTGTGTGCACGTGTGCGTGTGTGTGTGTGTGTGTGTGTGTGCGCGCATGTGTGCATGTTTGTATGCATGTTCCTTTATGTAATTGTGTGCGTGTTGTGCGTTTGTCCTCATTTGTTTGTTAGCGTGGAGTACATCCAAATGTGCGTATGTACAGTATATACATATGTTAAGTGTTTGTGATTATGTGTGTGTGTGTGATTGTGAATTTGAGTCCGTTTTAGTGCACATATATACAAACGTATATGTGTGTGTCTCCCTGAGTGCATGTGCGCGCGTGATTGACAGAGATTGCACGTGTGGTTGTTCAAAACGTATGAATGTGTGTGTGCTTGTGTGTGTGTGTGTGTGTGTGTGTGTGTGCATGTCAGGGTGTTTGAAACATGGGGCTGCGTCACCTCGCTCTATGCCCAACCCCTATGGCTCACACCATCCCCTGTAGCGCCTTATAGTGGCAGCCTGCCAGTAGGAACAACGCAGCCAGTAGTGGAGGAGGGAAGGTGAACAGAGGAACTAGGCTCTTCTTGTCAGTTTTCATTTTCCTCCTGAGACGTGTTTGTTTACTATCTGAAAAATCTATAAAACGAAATCTTTAAAGACAAAAAAGACGAAAAAATGTTCACGGGGCCCCATGACCGCGGCTCTCTCTACTCTCTCCTGCTTATGTTATTACTTAACAATTATCAATGATGATTATTATGATTATTATTGCTATTATTCTTAGTATTCTTATTCTTATTATTAATCCAATTACTGCGATGAATGACTTCATGTTATCCTTGCTAGTTTAGGTCATTTCTGAAACTGGAAACAAAATAAAAATCTTGCTGTAAATGTTTGTTTTTTCTTTTTCATAAAACTGTTGTGTTTGAATTATTTGTACTTTTGAATGTTGGGACAATAAAATGAGGTGTTAAGAGCTTGGACGTTTCTTGTCATGATGGATGAAGCATATAAATATTTCATACTACACTGTAAGGGATATATTCCTTATACGTTTTTAAGAATTAATTGTTTGCTTCTCTTTTTCTACCTATCTTGTTTTATTGGTTAGATTTAATAAGGGAAATCAATTAGGTATAATGGACACTTCAACTCAATCTACTTAATGAAAACTGATATATTGCATATTCAGTGTATATTGTAGAATTGTAAATTGTTGGTTTGTATATTGTATATTTTAATCAATTAGTCAACTAATCAGACATAAAATTGACAGTTTTTAGTCAATTATCAGGCAGAAAAGGCTAACATTTGTTAGTTCTAGTTCCTCCTAATGTGAGTATTTAATTTTTATCATTGTAAATGTAATATTGTTGGACAAAGCAAGTAATTTAAAGACATTATCTTGGTCTCAGAGACCAAACATTCTGACATTTTATTAAGTAACAATCAATTGATCCAACAGATTAATCAAAAAGCTCATCACTAGTCGAGTATATTGTTCCTATATCCGTCTCTAAACATTGAGGCAAGATTTCAAAGTAATACAACACAATATAACTAACTGCAACAGTAAATCACAGATTGAATCTGCGTTCACTGTGACCTTTCAGCTACTGAGGGACAGTCACGACTATGAGGCAGTAACACTGCAGACATAAAACGCAGTGCTGATCTCAGTCAGCCCTCTAAGGGGCCCCTATTGGACAGCAGAGAGGAATCAGGCGTAGCTACATCAGTGAGATAACACTGCCCCCTGTATCTTCACCACAGTATCCGAGACCTCTGTGGCACGAGGCTGCTTCTCGCTGAGTCGGAATATCTGTGGTTAATGCTTGTTTTCCATCTGATTTTTCTGCCTCACAATACAAACGTCATCTGTCAGACCAGAAAACACCTGAAGCAAAGGGACTAAGAATAATTTATCCTTAGAGGATAAAGAAATGCTCACTGCTAGCAGCTCATCACATCTGTTCATCAATAACAATGTTCTCAATGTACTCAGTAATGTCTAGTGATGTGAGCCTGACTTTACGCCTTTATAATCAAAATCACACCAGAGAGCATTACAGCAGTTGTGGAGGAGATGATGGTTGTTAGACTGTGATGTGTCCAGCCACTCTTGTCTTTCCTCTCCCGTTGTTAGCAACTTAATGATCCTCCACTCTCATCAAGGCCAAAGTAGATGGCGAGGACATGAGTCAGCGTGTGTGCTCTCAAGTCCCCTTTGAACTGGATCCTTGGGAGTTGAAAGGCATAGCTAGCTCAATAAACAACTCTGGATGATTTCGACTTTATTGTGATGTTTTCTGTTTTACTCTGCTGTGACTCAGACGTGGATGAAACCAAAAG